TCTCTGAATGAAGATTTGTTATACAAGATGATAGATGGAAAAGCAATTGACATATTTAATTCAGATTTTTAAACACAGCTTATATTGCAAACATATTGCATGGTGGTTTTGCTCAAATCCAGAAGTCTAGGAACTGACCTGATCCTAACGCTTAAACAGCTATTTCCTCCTTACAAAATATACCTCACCTGAAAGGAATAAAACCCACTTCTAGTTCTGCAAAACGATGCCTGTATATCATGACACTGTACATTTTCCCCTTTCATTACCACTGTCTCTCCTTACAAGCCATATTGGTATAAGGAGCTGAAACATTGTAGTGTTTGCTCATATGAAGAAGCTCTGTTAATAAGATAGCTTTCACTTTTGGATTTTGCTGTTAATACATGGTTCTTTTGACACATCTTCATTAGAAGTACTGCAGAAAAAGATTTCTTCTATCTCATGTGATTAATTACACTACTGTCTGCATACATTTTCTTCTTTGTGGTTCTGTCTCTTACATAGAATCTGCTATATCATACAGGTACGTTCTAGCTGTTTTTAAACATGAGACTTAAAATATATTTTCATTTAAGTAATCACTAATAGAAATCATGAGAATGGATTAAAAAAGAGTAAGGACTCTACTAAAAATGATGTTATTTAATACAGTTTCAGTCATGAAAAAATTCACATGGACTAAGATACCATCAGAACTGGCAGAACAGAGACAGAAGAGGAAAATTAATGGAAGATGACAAAACTTCTTGCCAGAATAATAAAGGAGGTCTATCAAGATGGGAGTTTCCTAAACTAAAGCCAGCACAATTCAAGAGTGGAGAACGCTAAAGTAAAAGTGGTTTCACCCCAAGCACATCAGAGTAAGATGTAGAAGGAAAAACAGCAGTTAGAAGTAAGGATGAAAATCTATCAAGTACTGAAAGCTAACACCCTACAGAAATTTTTTAGCCTTGTAGAAAGCTAAGCAGTAATTACTGCTGCATGTAAGTATTACCTGGGCCAACTACAGATGAGCAAGAACACAAGTTAAGAATGACAACTCATGATAAGTGTTAAAAAAAAAAGAACACAAGAATTTTGCTTTTCAAAATCAACTATCATCCACTAACCATACACAATTTCATGGTATTTATACAAATCCTAAAATAAAAATTTATATATATGTAATTTAGTGTAATGTAACAAATATTATTACCAAATTTTACACGTTCTTTTTTTTTTAAGCATACCATTGGGTCAATACTCCCCAGACTCTTCCAGCTGATACCCACTGTAAGATTTGCCTGATAAAGACACAAAAATGGAACTGATTCCCACATCAGCCTTTCATCATGCAGTTTCTCTGACTTTGTAGCTGATGCTGAACAAGAGACAGAACATTCCCAATTATGATGCTTCTGTTACATAATTAACTTGGAATCAAGTGTCTCTTGGAAAGAGTTTGATCGCAAAATACAGAATATGATAAACTACTCTGAAGTTCTCTAGTACTGCCTCTTCCATCTTTACAGAATGCTCTTGCAACTGATAGATTTTTTAGAAGTAATTCTATCAATTCTACTTTCTTCTCTATAGGGAAAGGCGTAGGTATATGGAATACAAATGCTAAATGGGCAGACATGCCTGAGAACATTTAAGCCAAAACCTGCAGATTTCACTGAGCCCTGTTCCACACAGTATTCCTCTATTGTATATTGTAGAATGTAATTAGCATCCATAACCAATTGAAATTTTACTCAAAATTTGGCAATTTACAAGCATAAAAAAAAAAAAAAGAAGAAAAATCAATCCTAGTCTCCAACACTTCCCAGAAGGATCAGACTGGAGAACATCACTTTAGTTGAAAAGGAAGGGATCACAGGAGAAGCAGGCTGACTGAGGCTTGGAATAGTACTGGGGAAGAGACACTTTGCTCACTCTTCCTGCTCTCCAGTGGACAGGGTGAAACCGGTGCTTACAAAAAATCATTGCTCTTGCAGCACACCGAACCTTCAAGAAATACAGCACGGTCTGCTCTACAACTGGCCACCTTATAAAGAGACATAACTGAAATGGCATATCCAAATTTTGTGAATTTGACAAGGCCAATTATACAAGGCCAAGCTGCATTCCTTCAGGCAGTAACAAAATGAAATCAAAATTAAGATATATCCTTTTTGTCTTGCCACACAGAGAAAAAGAACTCTTTACTGTACCAATACAGAATAGTACATTTCTATCTTATTACACACAGAGAGAAATGAGTGCATGCCAAACAAGCATGGGCCATCTGTACCCCAAACGTACATGGAAAAATTCATGTATAAGTACATTTTATTTATATTGTTTCAATTTTAAACAAAATTCCAACAGTGTTACTAATAGTAAACTAAAACCTTTCTCTAACCCAGAAGAAAAAATGTTTGTTTTTGTGACGTTAACAGTACACATTAAAAAGTCCACTGTCACTGATGAGTCACATTTTGCTCATGTCTAATATTTAAAACATTTTTAAAGAGCATTGTGACCATTTTTTGTAGAAAAATTCAAGTCTTTCTAGTGACCAAAAAAATGTAACAGTCCTGATTTCTTGTCTATTTAACCCTGACAGCTCTGAGTTAGACTACTTCTGTGATCGAATCCTATCTCATCAAGCTTTACAACAGGTCAATCACCAGGCTTCAAGAGTAGGAATCCTGAAATTTCAGTAGACATCCCAAGACTTGACTGGATGCTGCATGCAGTAACGTTTCTCGTTGTTTTGATTAGATACATGTAGAAACACCCCAAACTAACCTCTGTGTAAGCAAAACCATCAGGATATGGATAAAACCTGACATGTGACACAAGCATGTTCCTAACTTTATACATTTAATTCTTTATTTATAGCTACATTTCATTCTTTATTATATATATTTTTACTGTTTTCCCAAGAATATTTTTAAATACCTGAAGACTAGAGCTTTACTACTTCATCACAGCCTTCTAGAACCTTAAAGCATCACCTCTAGGAATATATTTCCTTTTCTACTCAGTTTCTTGGTTTCATTTGCTGCACTCACATGGAAACACATCTCTCTTTTCATTTAGGCCTCTCAAACAATTGGTGTCTGCACTGTGTGCACCCATGTAAGTAAACCTACTTAGGAAGAACAAGTAATTGTTGCATTGGTGCTTTCTTTTATGTCAGGTAACAAAATGAATGCATATTTTGAAACTTAACATTCCAGATGCACAACAGTCCTCAATCAACAGAATTGTGACACTGTGGAACTTCCTTTTATTATTTTAAGTGACAGGAATTACATTAACAATTAAATGTTGTAACAGAACCCCATCATGATTTCCCATAATAATTCATAATAATAGCAAATAGGGATGATGATATAACTATTTAATTGATATAAATCTACATATGTGTCCTTAGGCTTTCTTAATGCTAACTTTAACTGGAATCCAGTTGAGAAGTAACATCAATGAAACACAATAAATCTATCCCTGGCTACCAAGAACACTGTGTATTTTCAATGTGGCCATATGAAATAATATTTAATACGCTTCTGGCACTAAGCATGGTGTTCTGATAACAAGAACATCAGTAAAAACAAGTGCATACTTCCAAGCACTACTTCACAATTTTTGGAAAGGATGAAAACAATTGCACTTACAACAGAAGCAAGACATTTTTGCATATTGAAGCAGAAGTATTGTAAAACCTGTACTTTGCCTATAGAAAAATGAAATACAGCTTAAGCATGTATGATGAATGTATGTATAAACAACACTGTACATGCTAATTTAGTGAAATAGACAAGCAATTCATTAGAAAAAGCCATGGCATAGTTTGATTATGCGTATGTACCAGCTTTGTCAGAATGTTCTTTTAATAAAAAACAATTTATTCCCCTCAAATGATTTGAATTTCAGTTTGGATCTTCCTATGGACTTATCACTTATCAGACAGAACAGTAATATGCCTTGTTAAACAGCTTTTACCAGTGTAGGATTTCTATTTAAAAAAAAATCCAGCAAACAGAAGACTATAAACTGTTTAGCAATATGTTACAAAGCAGGAAGGCCAAGGGAAAAAAAGATGCAGCAGGATTTGATAGGATTTATTCCCAAAACAGGGAAAGAGGAACATTAGTTTCATTTAACTGTAGAATGAGAATCCCTCCAAAAGACCATAAAGGAAAATTTGAAGGGGGTTAAAGAATGTTAATCGTATTTCTTAATCTAAGAATATTCATACAGATCATTGCTCCTATGCAGCTTCATCTCAGGTATAACATACTCATACTCAAGGATGAAATACTGAAAACCTCTGCAGAAACTGAAAAATGCTTCCAAAAGTTTCGCTTTGACTCAAATTCCAAATTAAACATGTAAACTGTTAATTTTAACTAGCCACTATAAAGTTTGTCTACAGATCTTATGCTTTGAAAAACACATCAGTTTGTGTTTAGTATGAATAACTTAGTTTTATACCAAAATAAGTACTTCTGCCAAACAATTGTATCTAATGGGACATACCAAAGGGGACCATCACTGAACCTGAGGATTAGATCTGGGAAAAACAAAATTCTTTTTCTATTATGCATTAACAGCTGGCTTTTGCAAGCAACAGTCAGGTTACTTTATTTTTTCAGTTCAGGTCTGGAACATTAAAAAATCATCATGCTATTTACATCCGGGGTCTCACAACTTCTGAAAGTATAATTTCAGTTAAACAGTAAGTAGGGGACTAGTTCATTACACAGAAGATTTCAGTGAACTTTTTGTGAGAGAAGTTGTGCAAGATCTCAGTACTTCTACTGAAACTTAGAAGCATACAGAAGAAATTATTCTACATTCAATGCAGCTTGCCTTCTCCTTGATTATGAGATTAAAACTTGACTAATTTTATTTCAGTATCCATGATACTAAGCATGCATCTCTCATTTTTACTTTCCTCCATTTAACAATATAAAAACATAAAAAAACAGGAGCACTTTTTAATGAAGTTACTGAGAACTTACCCTATAGAAAGCAGTTGTCAGGGGTAGCAAGGCTGCAGCAACGCTATATTCTTCTGATGATGAGCAATCCTTCAAGAGAAACACATGAAGAAAATAAGCAAAATCATTTTCAATTTCATGTGTAGCATAAGTTCATTTCAACTTTAGGTAGTCCCTCCATTTTTCTTAGGTGTAATTAATACTTTAATCAGTTGGTATAACATAAGACAAACATAGATGGGTGGGTGTGTGTACGCATACATATTGTGCCTCAATCTCTTCTAGATGGCTACTGCCAAGATTTTTCAAATTTAAGGAATTTATTAGCAGTGTTCTCCGTTCCCATGCCTGAAAGACAAGTTCATCAACAAAATTTACATATAGACATATTATTCATTCAGGAAACAATAAAAACGTAGCTTGCTTCCATTCTGGTCCACAGAACATCTGTACATTTTTTAAAAGAGAAATGATGCGACGACCAAAGAACGTACTTCCAAAAAGTGTATACAAAGAAAGGAACATTTATTAAATATGAAATAATCACCTCTGCAGACTCTACAGAAGCTTGGCATAACATAAACTTTAAAAGAAGATGAAAACCTACTCTGTTCACAATCTCAGAATACCTCATTCAACATCCAAGTGTGTCATTTGTGCCCCTCTAGGCTAAAAGTGGCATGCCAAAGTAAATCAGCTAGTAATTGCACTGATAAAAATAGTGATCTTATGACGGAAGCCTTTTAAGAAATTAGATTTGGAATGCAATCTAATATTTTGAAAAACAAACTGCTTGATTTTTTAAGACTTTAAAAACAGAACAAAAATATTCAGTAAGTTAGAAAAAATATACTACTTTTTCTTTTTTTTCTTTACTAGTTTTTTTTTTTTTAATTAGCTCTTTTTGCCAACCCTGAGAAACACAACAACACGCATTCTTTTACATGACAAACGTAGCACCACTGTGCCCCTGAACGATGAATGGGAAAACAACATTTCCATTTGAACAACTCGTGAATATTTTGAATATTCCCTCCTGCAGTGGGTACTGTTCAACACAAATTACTCTTCTATTAGTTCTATGTAACATATGATAAAATTACAAAATTGAAATATCGCACTTTTTCCTCTGTCAGAGTTTTCATTTATGCCTTCATCTCACCATATTCACTCCCTGGAGTTCTTTAAAAAGAAAAACCTGGCAACTCTGATAGCAGAAATATAAAATACACGTTGCAGGAACAATCATAAGTGGTTGGCTACCCTGCACATAGCAGGGGGGTTGAAACTAGATGATCATTGTGGTCCATTTCAACCCAGGCCATTCTATGACTCTATGATCATTAGGATGTTACTTTTAGTCCCCTCAGCGCTACTTTTCAAAAGGCTGGTGAGTGATCATGGAATGCAGGTTTAAAACAGTAAACTCACAACTAGACTGTTCTTAATTTACTGTTCTTACTTTACTGTTCATTACTTTAGAAGTCCATTTCGTCCTTTCCAGTAACAAATACTTAATATTTTGTTGATAAAGCTAGCCTAAACAAAGTATCACTGGCCATACACAAATACAGGAACCGTTAGAATATTACTTACATATCTGTTTAGAAAAAGCATACAATAGATTCATAGATGAGAAGCTTTATTTCTGTACAGACTCATTGAAGGCTTTATCTTGTCTAACTTGGTATGAATGGATACATGCTAACCGTGCATGGAAAACAAACGGTGTGCAGACTTTATAACTCATTCCAGTCCGGTAGAGAAAAACAGTAAGAAAAGTAGACACTGAGAAATGCGATGTATGTTTTAACAGTGCTTGTCAGTATTCTGTAAATACCCAAAATCTGTTTATAGACTCCTTTTAATTAGATGTCCAAACAGCAACAATGAAGGACATTGCCGCAGCTGCATTTCATTCTCAATTTCTGCATTATTTTCTATTGCTAAAGATAGGCCCAATCAGCACATGAAACTTGTAGGTTAACACAAGGATATGTTAGAATTAGAATGAAAATGCCAAATCTAAAATCAGACTTTACAGCATTCAAAAGTACTCCAAAATTTTTAAGGAAATACATTACCCTATTTCTGTAAGTGCTCTGTCATAACCAGTTACCAAACAATCCATCCTGATTGTTTCAAGATATCTACTTAATCCTTCAGCTCAAATTATTTGTAAGGGTTTTGGCTTTTACCCAAAACATACATAAAAATATTTTTATTAAAACTGAGCAATGCATCTTCACCTAGAGAGCATCCAATATTCCAAGAGCTAACATATGTCTCAAAGATATATATCACCACCACACAAACAACATCGTGTATTATTTTTCCATTCCTTCTTGCAAGTATGAAATTCTCCACATACTCCGTGTCAGCAGTACCCCCTGGACTTGTAGTATGGAGGTATTATCTACATATATTTTCATCTGTAGCGCGTGACAAAACCTGTAAAATGATCTCATTTTGGAATTAAGTACAATGCTGTTGTTTTGAGAATAGTGAAAGTAACCAACTATTTGTCTTCCTTCTAGTAGCATGACAGAACACAACAGCTAATGGAGCTATTATAGCAAAATTGTAGCCTCTCAATTTACATGCAAACCAAAGAACTCGAAATGTCATATATGTATTGTATTTAATGAATTTTGGCTCTTGGAAAAAAGAAACACAGATGTTTTACATATAACAATGTCTACCAATCGTGAAAAATATCTCTTACAGAAGTATGCAAATCAAATATAAAAATAATTAGAGCTGTTTCTTACACTGCAACACAATAAAGTTGAAACACAAAGGGTAGTAATGAGGAGGAACAAGTATTCTCAATAATGAATTTTTAAGAATCAATACCTTACGACAATGAATTTTGGAATTCCACGTGTGCCAATGCAGAGTGCTTTGAATCCACACTTTAGTGGGGTGAAGATATGACTTGATTTCAGAACAAGTACTGACCTGAACTTCTATTTGGAAAAGGTAGTTTGTCATCATCAAATTGAGAACTCCTCCACAGTCCAATCCTAGCAATGAACAGCAAACAAAAGCCACCCCAAGTAAAATTTTTCCTTGAGGTGCACGCCTGAATTCAAAACCTCCTTTAAGTACCCAATGCACTTCCGCTGGCTGCAAGAGCAAGTTCAAGGGAGCAGAACAGTGGTAGTTAGGCACAGGCTTACACACTTTCTTGAACAGGCCACAGTAAATATCTGATATTTAGAGACTTCTGCTTTCCTTTAGTCACATGATAAAAATCTGGGAGAGACATATTAAATGTCTCTTTAAACCTGATAACATTTGAAAAACCTGATAACATTTATTAAACCTGACAACATTTGAAGTTTTCTACTCAGATACAATTTTCCTCATAAATCAATCCAGCAGTCTCTCTCATTATGTACTAGTTGATAAAGAATGTAGTTATATTAAACTGCATGCCGCTTTGGACAATAAGCTTTCTGAAAGGAAACCACATTTTTAATGATCTATAGCAATCTGAATACTGAAAACCTAGGACCCACTTCTGCTTTACATCCAACAGCCCTATAAATAAATAGAATAATTCATAAGCCTATCACATGAATTGAACATGCAATGAATGCCTTCAACCTAGTAAGCTACACATGGTGGCTCTTAACTACGTGTGGGACTTTTTGCCAGTACAGTCTGGTTATGTACACTTCATTAAAAATACTGAAGGAATCATCACTACTGCACTGTAATTCCTAAGAAGTACTGGATGCTGCCCATCTTCATGAAGACCAAGAGCATTCATCACAATGCAGGACTGTGCTCATAAACAATCAAGAAAAAAGCCAGAAATGTCAGAATTGCATGTTTTTTAAAGTGCTAAGATAAGACTTGCTAACTTAGCATGTGTAAGGTCACAAGTCATGTGAACAGTAAGAACATTAGCTAAAAATTACAGGTGAAATACTTGTTTCAAATTCCCAGATGACTTCATTGGTGCTTGAATTTAATTTTTGTTGTTATGGATGTACTATGCAGGTAGGTTTTTACTGAAACCTAATGAAATTAAAGATGTTTTAGCAGCTCAGAAATACCCACAGTGCTGTTACAGATGTAATCTACCACAATCGTTAATATTTAATTTCCTTAATAGAAAAAAGCAAGATTTTCATTCAAATACAGGTTACTGCCGAGTCTCATTCTGATTTGAAAGAAGCACCTAAAACACCACAGGATTTCAAAAGGAATACTTATTCCACATTGATCAATGTTATGACCGACATTCTTCATATTCAGCCTCAGCAGTTAAAAATCCAAGGAAACAAATTACCAGTTTTACGCCGTACTCATTACATCTAATGTAATTATATGTTGCCTTGAATGAAAGCAGACAAAAAATAGTTGTATTTGGAACAGGCATTCATTTTAGAAGCATTTAAATTGCAGGATTTAACCCTACAGCCAAATCCATCCTCTGGAACAATACTCAGAATTTGCTGAAATAAATGCAAGTACGACACTAATTGATTACATTACTTATTATCAACAGCTTATAATTATCTTCAAAAGAAACTCTGGAATCTGATTTTTCTGACATTTTGGATAAAGTTTTCTTACTGAAATAAGCAAAACAGTCTTTCCAGTGAAAATTAGTGGACGGTAGCTTTCTGGCATTCCTATGCAGTTTGCCTGGTAAAATTAGCAGCACTGCTAGCTTCTGCTTCTTTATAATGGGATCAAAAGTTCTTATTTTTCTTGTCACCAAAGATGAAATTCAACTTTACTGAATTTTTTTTTTAAACTAGATACAATTCTTCTGGGACTTGAGAGACAGGATATGAAGGCATACTTGGAAGACACATATAGCTGATAACTTGTAGACTAATCTATTAACAGAACCGTGAGAATATACAGGAAACACGGAAGATACTACCATACATTAATGATTACTGACTATTTAATTCTCATTACTTCTAAAGCTTCACATTTTGGTAAGGATTTAGACTGGTTCAAAATTATTAACTCACAAATCACAGAATGGCTTGGGTTGGAAGGGACTTCAAGGATCATGAATCTCTGACCCTCCCCGCCACAGGCAGGGCCACCAACCTCCACAT